AATAATACATATAATAATGCACAACACATGGTATCCATGGATACGTCATTAACTCACACTCGATATTGGATTAATTTACTGTTTCGCTGTACTCAAGTACAAAATCTTACTTTAATTTTGCAATTAGGCCGTGGTACAGACCCCTTATTATCAGATTATTAACATCAGCCTGAAATTCATGAATAGCTTAAACCCATACATATTTTATTTACGAAAACTCTTGAGATTAAGGCGTTTTAAATGTGAAGACTAGCAAACTTTGTCGATTTAATTAGGTACAAAAAACTTGTAAATACCCATTTACTTTAAACTTGGATCTTGAGATAATTTGATCACAAAATCAAGAAAAAAGGTGGCCTACAAAAATATTTGGCCGTTTGGCTTATATGACCTCGTTATTTTGACATTTTGGGAGTGCAGATTCAATATTTATTAAGGCCACCTTTTTTTTTCGAATTGTCTTACAATTCAAGTGGAATGCAAATGGGTATTTAAAAGTTTTTAGTACCTTATTAAATAGACTAAGTTTGTAGATCTCCGGATTGAAAACGCCCGAGAATTTTCGTTAATAAAATAGTTGTAGGTCAAGATGAGAAGAAGATATTTACGAAGTTTCAGGCGGATGTTAATAATTGGATAAAAAAGGGTCTGTACCACTGACTAAACATAAAGGCCAATAAAGAATAGCTTACAGAAACTGGCCAATCAATATCCCATCATATGAAGGCACGGAGGCTAAGACGGGCGGGACATGTAGCTCGTAGCAATCCGAAAGCCTCTACGTGACAATAAATGCCTTAATAGAAGGCAAAAGACCACGTGGAAGCCCAAAAAGCAGATGGATAGATAGAATCAACAAAGATCTATTAGAGCTGCGCGCAAATAAATGGAAAGAAATGGCCAAAGGCAGACAGAGATGAAGCCAGTTCGTTAAGGCGGGAAAAGATCTAGATGGTCTGTAATGGCAAAAGAAAAATAAAATTGTAATTATTATTATTTTGAGAATATAGAAATACAATTATATTTCATATTATTAATTCCGCCTTGATGATGTTCACTTATATCGTGCCGTCATCAGCATACATCTTAGTTGTTTTTTCTTTGTTTATTTTTAACATCTCAGATGGATGTAAATTAAAAATCTTTAGATTGATAATATTATAATAATGAGAAGGAATTAGTCGAGGGTGCGGTCAAAAAAATAAAAAAAATTAAAATATATAAATAATTTTAATTTTTGCCAAAAATTAAAATTGTTGGCAAAAATTAAAATTATTTATATATTTTAATTTTTTTTATTTTTTTGACCGCACCCTCGACTAATTCCTTCTCATATCATATCAACGGTCAACCAACTCTACATTATTATAATAATGATTGTTAGCAATGTCGCTATTAATGGACGTCAATTATTATACCTGTATCATTTTCACCATAGCATAAAGATATTAGTTCACATTACAAGTTAGTCTACATTATACACAAAGCTTATTTTAGAAATGAATAATTTATAAATATGAAAAAAAAAGTGAAATTTATCCGTAAAACTAAAAGGATATCATTAAAAAAATATATCAGTTAATGAAAAAGAAAGTTTTTTTAAATTTCTTTATGACATTTACAACTGTATTACATAAATACATCAAGTAAATTTGGACATAATTGATATAATGACATGAACATGAATACACTTGCTGAGTAACTACCCAATGGTATCACTCTAATGATATGACTACATTAGGAGATCACGGGGCCATCTTCTTTTCAGACGCCTCGGAGGGTTATCAGGAATTGAAGAGGAAGCAAGGTTAGAAACGAGAGGGTTGGGATGATTCTGAAGTTTATTATGGAAGGATAGGTATCTGGATTGGGCCAGATCTGAAACATAAGGAACATTAAGATCTTTATGGATAATTTTATTAGTGACAAAGTAAGGAGCATTGAGGATTTTACGAAGGATTTTGGATTGTAAGGATTGGATGCGAGAGGAATTCGATGGTTTAGTGGAGCCCCATAGCTCAACTCCGTAAGTCCAAATAGGTCTTATTATAGTCAAGTATATGAGTCTTTTGTAATTAATGGGAAGTTTAGAGCGTTTGTCTAGTAAGTGCTGAAGTAATCGGAAACGTCGAGCGGTTTCTTGTCGTTTCAGTCTAGTAGAGGATTCCAAGTTAGTCGTTTGTCCAGGTGGAGTCCTAGGTATCGGATTTGCTCAACAGGGATAAGTGGAGTATTGTTAAAGGAAACTGTAGGACAGGAAGTCGTTGGTTTACGACGAAGGGTAAAGGTAATTTGGTGGGATTTATTGGAGTTTATTTTAATTCTCCAGTTTTGACACCATTCTTCTAGATTTATGATGTGTGATTGAAGCATTTGGGATGCAATTGCTGGGTCATTGTTTACTGATAGGATACATTTGTCATCGCCATATGTGGTGATGACAGTGTTGGGACAGGTAAGGATGTCAGCTAAAAAGAAAGTTTGAATTAAAAAAAGAATACTCAGCAAATGATAAAGAAATAACAAGAAGTCTAGGCGGAAACTATTTTTTTTTCCATTTGGTTTTATTCATCTCTCGTCCACCAAGTTTTATTTATTCTCTATTATTATAATAATTTACTTCGTATTTTCTAAATTAAGGTTTCATTTCTTTATCAGAATCAGAAAAGTCTAAAATTTAAATACTCAGACTTATGTATTTGCAAAAAAAAAGTGGAGCAAACTCTATGGGTAGAAGAAAATGAGGGAATTCTCTCTTTCGGCCCAAAACTTATTAAAACCCTGAAAATCATGAACTGTTGCCATTTAAAATTTGTATCAACTTAAGATAATCTTCATTCTAAAAAAATATATGATTATGTATACTATAAATTATGTATTTTAAAATTTTAGTCTATAAATTAATAAATTGAAATTTTAAGCGTAATTAAAATATTTTTATTCTGTCTGAAAAATACTCCGCTGATACAAAAACTAATAGTAGCAGCTTTTTGAAGGTTATTTTGGAAATTCAAATAATGTTTTCACAAATAAATTGTTATGATTCATTAAATAGGCGAGACAGTACGGATGTGACAATTTTCATTTGAAATTCCTCAATTTCATTAGTATACCCTTTAGATAGAAGGAAGTTGTATAGTATAGTGTGCACTTAATTAAGCACAAGTACTAATTTTTTTCCGTAAGTTAAGTTACAATGTTGCAAGTAAAAAAAAAAATCGCAACCGACCCCACCCCAAGTGACAGTGCTTGGAATCGGCAAGATTCAAAAATACAATAAAATATTCTAAAAAAACTTTTATTGTATTATAAAACAAAATAAATATAACCTGGAAACAATCTAATCGCTTATGAATAATAGGGCATAAACATTTGTATAAGAATTAACTTTAGGTCGTCTTCCTTGAGGGTTTATTTGGTATCTAAAAGCAAAAAAATAAAATAAAATAAAATTACTTGTGTCATAACGTTAGTCAGAAAATATGTCACGGCCGTACCTAACGCACTACTTCACAATAAAACGATTGTCTCAGCAATATAAAATTATCTACGTACAAAGTTATCTCTCCCAATTAAAAACTAATGTTTAACTTACAACGAGGAAAGACATTTGTTACTCTACCTATACACTAATTATTACATGTGACAACAATTATTAAAAGTAATAAAATAAAAACAGTTACTTTTGTCTGATAAAAAGTAATGAAGGCCTCTAGTAGCTTTAATGACGCGCGATACGCAATACTGTTAAATACGTTCAGACAGGCACAACATCCCTTTCTACTAAATCTATTGTTTATTATTAATTATTATTAATATTCCTTATAGTTTCGCTAATATGACGACTGTCAAAATCGTACTCTGGTACTACCACACAAAGTTCCCCTATTCATAATTCCGAATGACGAGGGTCTAATCTTAAATGGACTTTGATATCAGGTACGTCTAATCCAAAATGAAATAGTCTGACACAACTTGAATTCCGAATTTCATAAAATGTCTTCTTCTGAAATATATTTTATTTTTTTAAATTAAAAATAATTAAAGGTCTTCCATTATTATTATTATTAATAATGAAAATGGCCTACTATAAATTATTATATAGATTATGATATTTGGTAAATAACAAAAGAAAAAAAAAATTTTGACGGGTTAAAAACAAATTTTCGTAGAAAAGTAATATACTTGCATCTATAATATATTTTAGGAATAATGATATCTAAAATATAAATACGATGAAGGTAATGATGCGTGACAAAAAATTTATGATATTTTCTGAAAACTAATATTTACGAACACACAATAAATGAAATCCACAAAATAAATAGAAACTTTTGAAATTATTTTAAAGCTCGATTAACCAAAAATATATAATACGTCAATGTCAATTATTGTTTCAAAATTATTTCATCGCAATTTTTTGAGACAAGACGTAAGTAAAAACAAAGAGACGTAAAAAAGTGCTTATAGAAAATATTTCAAGCATTATTTGGATGAGTATTTAAAATATTTTAATAACTATAGTTTAACAATTCCGTTAAGGCCCAATAAATATATAATCTAACATTAACTAGCACTATTTGAAATTAGAATTTTTAAGAATGGAAAGTTGTTTGATCGGGCCACTATAAATTTTTTTTTTATTGCCAAAGTGGATAAAATCACGGAAAAGGAAATGAATAAAATTGAAAAAAAAATGAATAAATAATGAATGAATCAATATTCTTTTTTTTCTTTACTATTACTGAAGATTTGCTTAATAAATTATGATGAATAATTTATGAAAATTAAATTCATCTAACGGACACTTAAATGAATTTTACAGCTGTAATGAAAACTTTTGAAACTATTTTTTAGTTTATTTATAAATTCAATGAGGAGAAAGTTAGTTTAATGTGTTCACTGTATCTGTTTGTTTTTTTATTACTTATATCTTCACAAAGAATAAATACACAGAGAAAGAAAATGTATTAAATAAAAAAAAAATACAGATCACTTACAGGTTTATGGATGAATTAATGTTTCATTTTTCTCTTTTCTATTATTGAAGATTTTCTTCATGTATTCAAATTTTTCTTTGCTGAATTTTCGAAAAAAAAAATAATTGTACTTTAAATTTAAAAATCAAACAAACGAAAAAATAATAAGAGAATTAATAAAAAATAATCCGTATGATTTCAATAAAAATTCATAACCATTAGAAATTTACGTATCGTGAGGGACTTGGAGAGACCGAAAGAATCATGCCCTCACAGCCCGACTTCAAAGCCGAGACTGAACTTCCCTCGCCTCCGATAGCCCCCACCACTCCCCACTGCTGTCGTTACAGCAATAACTTATCAATGAAAATATATTTTTAATTTATATATAATTCGAACATTGGTGAATTATATGGATAAACTTCCAGTCTTTGTCCAAATATTTCGTACCCCCCGTGTTTAGACCATTACAAACATATATAAATATTATCGTTTTCTGTCATAACATCTCTTCAGGCCGTAAATTTTGTTTGATTCTTTTTTTACACTAAATTATAATAATAATAAGGCTTAGCGAACCCGAAGGTTCGATGCCGACACCACCAATCGCTTGTTACACACCTCCCTCCACCGTTCGCCGTAAACCCATACAGAACATATTTTCCGTTTTATATTCAATCACCCACCCCCCCAACATACGACCAAATTGAGGGCACATTCCACATAACCATTACCCAGGCCATACATCCAAACCCCCATCCCACAAAAAAAAACCCCAACACTCGGCCACATGGACTAGCCTAATCTGTAAAAACACAAAATTACATATACTAAAATATCATAAGAAATTATTTTCCGTTTTATATTAATTATATAAATATTGATAAATCGAGGGAACTTTACATACTTTATTTTGGATTTAAAAAAAAAAAACTACTTGGTCTATGGACTAGTTAATGGTACCTCTCACTATGACTTTCAAAAGCCATTTTTTTCTCACCACCTAGAAAATTTAATAACCAGTGAGTGCATCTTTTGTACTTGAGTTATAGTCCGTGGCACAGACCCTATACTTAAATGGATGTTAATATCTGGTACGTCTCATACAAAATAAAATAGACTGACAGAGCATAAAATCCGAATTTTATAAAATATTTATTATTTTTTTATTAGTAATAAGTAAAGATCTATCATTATTATTAACAATATTTGGCAAATAACAAAAGAAAAAGAAAGAAGATACATATTTCCTGGTAAAAAATAAATTTTTATGAAGTTATTAACATCCACCTAAAAGTCCGCGAATGGCTTCATCTTGTCACAACCCACAAATTTTCTATTTATGAATAATCTCAAAATTGGGGCGTTTTCAATTTGGAGACTTCAAATTTTGTCTATTTCATTAGGTACTAAAAACTAATAAATACCCATTTGTTTTCTACTTGGATTGTAAGATAATTTGATCACAAAATGGAGAAAAAAAGTTAGCCTACAAAAAAATCGGTCCATGATCTCCATCCCCAACATTTCAAAATAATGAGGTTATAGACCAAACGGCTCAACATTTTTGTAGGCCACCTTCTGTTTGAATTTTGTGGTCAAATTTTCTTACTATTCAAAGCGTATTTATGAATATTTTTGTAGATAGTTGAATTAAATGAATTAATATAATGAAATAAACGCCGTTTTTTTTAGACTTTTCGTAGATTATGAAAAGATGAAGCCATTCATGAAATGTTACCGGATGTTAATTTGCCAAATAAGCCTCAATTTAATTAATATGAACTTAAAACTTATTGAATAAAAAAGATTTTTTAAAACTATGGTATCTGTTGGATAATGATAAACAAAATCAACAATAATTTATGATTTTTTTTAAAAACTGAACTTAGCCACTCAAAAGTCCTCTCTCCCTAATGATTTTAACAAAGAAAAGCTCAATTTTAATTTGAAGAAAATTGGATCTAGTTTACAGTGAAACAATTGTCAATTACTTAAATTAAATATTCCTTTACTTATCGCTTCCTATTTATCAGAAAGTATAACACTTAAAAAAACATTAAACTTGGATGTCCTAATATTCTAATGAGAATTGGCCCATTGTTTATATGAGATTTTTTGTAGGTCTTGTGGCCTACAAAGTAAATTTTTTATATATATATACATACATATATGAAATGATTAATAACTTGCGTGTCACCCTTATTCCCAACCCGATAAGCATATCTATATATATATTTATGATGCAAGTTCATGTTTTATACAGATGCAAATTCTTAAACGGATAAAAAGAGGGAGAATGTTTATGATTTAGGGAACGATATTCGAGATTACCTATTCCCATAAAAACAGAAAACCATCAACCACTGCCACGCATTCAATTTTATCATGATAACAAAAAAAATATATATACTTCAAGTTCACGCAATCGTTATCATCTAATATCTAACTACATTTGTCTGAAGTCTCCATGTTCGCCACGCAACATTTACCATAAAATAAACATTAAAATTATCACAAAAAAACGAAGAGAGATAAACAATGAAACAATTGAGGGATTAATTTCTTTCAGTGATGAAGGTTTTATTACTTTTTTTCTCTCTTGAAAATGTTATAGTATTTTTTTTGTTGGAACCTTTTATGAACTCCAGATGGTTTAAAGTAGATAAGTCGTCATTTCAGTCTGTTTGAGCGGGTATTTCATTTTATATTTTAAAAATAGATTTTTATTTAAAAAAATTACAATTGTTATAATACAAAAATATGTATAGTAAATGTGAAAAGACATATATCATGACATAAAAAGACTTGTAGAGAAACTACCCATTTGTAGCACTCTGATAAAATTTCTACACTAGGAGGGATTTCATGAGGCCATCTTCTTTTTAGACGTCTTGAAGATTTATCAGGGCTCGATAAAAAACTTATTAGCTCTCTTTTTTTTTATTTTTTCAATACAAGAAAGAAAGATGTCCACTTATGATACAAAGTACACGATGGATGATAAAAATATATACAAAACATGATTACTAATTGAGTACGATGATATTGGAGGCATAGCCGCTGCCTAGGGAGAGAATAGATCTGAAATAAAGCAATCACTCAAAAGCTGTTTGGGTCGAGGACCAATATATCATCTATTCAGCTCTGATCCCTTCATCAAAGAGGATTTGCCTCTGTCGAGTTTATCATACCAATATATTGCGAATTTAGTTTTACACTCCGTATAGACTCCTAAAATAATCTGATATTGACTTTATCGCACATGTGTTTTGATAAAGTTTCATCAGAGGAGAAGGTAAACCAAAAAAAAAAAAAAATTTTTGCAGTAACAGAAGAGAAACCAAGGGCACCAGAGAAAACTTTTATTGGGCTCCCATCATATATTAAATTTACCACAGAAAGCTCCTCTTTTTTCAATATGTGCAACACAAATATTAAAGTTCGTGGGACAGACTCCTTTATATCAAATGATTAATATCCGCCTGAAACTTCGTAAATAGCTTCATCTCATCGTAACATAAAAATATTTTATTTACAAAAATTTTCGGAATTGGGGCATTTTCAATCCGGGGGTCGGCAAAATTTGTCCGTTTAATTATTGTGATTTGATTATAAAATTGATAAAAAAGGTGGAATACAAAAATATTTAGCTTTCATAATATCGTTATTCTGAAAAATTGGGGGTGTACGTCACGCTTGAAGAACACCCTTTTTCTCGAGTTTGAGCTCAAATTATATTAAAATTCAAGAGGAAAGCAAATAAGTATTTACGAGTTTTTTTATCTAATTAAATGGATAAAGTTTGCCGACCTCCATATTCAAAACGCCCCAATTCCGAAATTTTCGTAAATAAAATATTTGTAGGTGAAGTTTCAAGAGGATGTTAATGATTTGATAAAAATAGGTCTGGACCACCGACTATTATTTGAAGATATTACACAACTATGATATCGATATAGAAAGAAATATGTTTGAATACTTAAAGAAGTTTAGGCATCGAAGAAAGCGGGGCATCGAAGAATAACTGAAAGCGGGAAATGTTTGTTATTTTTCCGCGACAAAACTACTTAGCTCCTGTTCTGAAATTTGAAAACTAGAATCTATAAATTCAATATCGTGCCTACGGTTATTTATGGATTCGCAACGTTTTAAGATTTTTGAAAATAAAGTATTGAGTAGAATATTCCGACCGAAGAAGGATGAGTTAACCGGAGAGTTTAGACGGATCAATATGATTTTGGAGCAATGTTTACATTCACAATATAGATCTCTGGTAAGTATTGATCATTTAGGTCATAGGTGAAATTCGGTAAGTTTACCAAAATAATTCTAGTAGAGTTACCAAATTTTACCAATGGATTAAGAGCTCAAGAGTTAAAGAATGATCAATTTAAAGCAACGTGGGAATAAATCAACTTAACTAGTTATTGTCAGAGAACAGAGATATATACAACTAAAATAAGAAATGAAAAAAATTCTGTTCTGTGAAACAACATCATTTTAAACCTAAACAAGCGGCATATCTTCACCGCTATTATCGAGTCCATATTAACCTCCGTAGGTGAAGCATGGTCGATGAATGATAGCTTGTATGCCGAAGTTCGGACAGTAGAAATGGATTTTTGGAGAAGGCGTCTACAGTGAACGAGGCTGGACAGAGTACGATATTAAGCGGTGAGATAGAGAATAGGTGGAGAGGAGACCGTCTCTGAGAGTATCGCGAAACGGCGGTACAGGTGGTATGGGTACTGCAGGAGAATGACGGAAGAGCATGAAGGAGACCAAGAGGAGATGGTCAGCGAAGGTCTGCAGGAAGGAGATTGGGAGGATAGAGATACTTAGAGCTCAGTTCTGACCAGAAGAGGTATCTCTCATTGCAACACCGGAAATAAGTAACTCAGAACACTCAATAAAATAGGTAATTTATAATGATAAAAAGAAACGAAAAAAAACTTCTAGAGCAACAATAAATAGAAAAAAAAACTCATGAAAAGAAAAAAATACAAAAGCAATAGAACTGCATGCAGATAACTAGAAAGAAATGGCTAAAGATAGGCAGAGGAGAAGGCTGGTAAAGACGGCAAACAATTTAAAGTAAAAAAAAACTACACCATGGAAATAATTTAATTTAAAAAAAAAATCATACAATTCCAACGGTTTATTTCTGGGTTATAAACTATGGAAACGCAAGATATAATCATTATTAAAACGGTTTACAACTGGGAGGAATATAAATCGAGGCATAATCCGTCTTTAAATTATCCTTGATGGCCATTT